AGCCATCCGTGGAAGAATCCCCCAAAAAGCTCACGTGGAGCTCTGAGGGACTTAGAGAAACTGGTTGACAGAAGGAAGAAGGGCATTCTGGGCAGAAGGGAGACCAGACACACATACAGAGGAGTGAACCAGGGCGGTCCAGGGGGGATGAACAGAGAGCTTCATGTGACTGAGTTTCCATGCCTGCCTGGAGATCATGATGGGGATAAGCTGACTAGGCAGACATGTGAGCCAGAGTTGTGACAGACTGGCGCTCCTGAGCCATGGGGCAGGGGATGGGGGGCGGGGGGCTGAGAAGGCAGGGTCACCTGCAGGGGTTGGGCGGTCAGCAGCAGGAAGGACAAGATGAAGGGTTGACCTCCACGGCAGTGATACCCAGTGGATGTGGGGCAGGTGGAGGAAAGAATGGGACACTTGTATGGGAGCCTGGGGGCCTATGTGGAGGTTGATAGCAGTCCAGCTTTGGTGACTTGAACTTTCCCAGAGAGGTAAGAAGGGGATACCTCCTCCATTTCCACCAGTAGACATGTTCTTTTCAGGATACAACTGCCTTGCTCAGCTCATCTTGCACTGCACCACAGGTACAGGGAATGAACTGCCTCATCAGATGAGTTTTGTTCACCTGCTCTGTCCCTCTCCCTCTCGCTCCTCCTTTAGGGAGCAGGTGCCTCTGTGAGGGCGTCCAGCACTGGCAGTGTTGTGTGAACTGCAGCCTTAACAGGCTCTCCTGCTTACAGGTGCTTCTATGCTCTCTCTGGCCTGGCTCGGTGTCCAGAAGTCAGGTCATATTTTGGTCTCTGTGCAGTACTCCTTGATTGATTTCTTAATTTAAACAAATATAGATGCAGCTGCCTCAGCAACCTCAACCCGGGGGGCATCAGTGGCAAGGCTGTTTACTGAGTTTGGCATGTCACTGCTGCCGTGTGCCCCTAGGAGAGGCACAGGCCCTTGCTCCTGTGAGGATGTGTGGCTTTTCTAGATGATTCTGTGGTTTGGGGCAGAGGAAACCATGACTGCTCTGAAGGGAAGTTCCTCTGGGTTAGAGTGTGAAGAGGCTATGGATATAGCAGAAAGAGGTAAACTGATGCATGGGCACTTCCTGTGAGGTTGGGCCATGGGGTGGCCCGAGGGCCCTGAAAGGCTTTGTTCAGTAGCCAACAGGATTAGACATGGGGGCAGACGCTCAAGGTGAGCCCTGTTTTTTGTTTTTTAATGTTTGTTTGAAAGTCTGAAGCACACATAGACATACACTCTGAGACAAACAGACACACACACACATACGCACAAAGACTGTTTTATCCATTGGGCAGGCCAGACTACAGCCAGGGTCTCAGAGTTTCATCTGGTCTCTGAGGTGGGTGCAGAGGCTCAAGCACCTGGGCCACCTTCTGCTGCTTTCCCAGGTGCAACAGCAGGGAGCCGGATGGGAAGTGGAGCAGCCAGGACTTCAACCAGCAGCTGTATGGGATGCTGCTGTTGCCAGTAGTGGCTTTTCCAGCCTTGACACAACATTGTCCCTTCTTCCCCCCCTGGTCCTCTCCCTCCCCACAGAGGCCAGTCTTTAGGAATGTCAAGTTGAAGAGGACAGGGCCTAAGCCTTCATGGTTAGCACTGCCCTCTCTGGTACTTGGTGAGCAAATGGATAGATGAGAGGATGGACACAGTGATGAAGGGAAGGTTCTTGGGTGAATTGATCAGTCCAGGTCACGGCTCTGAGGTGGCATTCTGGCGGCATTTGATGGCATTTTCAGGGGAGGAAGTGCTCCAGAATACTGAGCTGAGTCTTTCCCTGTTTGTTTCCTGGCTCTGGGCAGCCATGATGTGGCAAAGGGGAGACTCTAGATTGCCGGGTGTGCCCACTCACTTCCAGGCTGCCCCTGGCATCTGACTCTGAGGAAGATCTGATGACACCGTTGGGGGGTGTGACAGCTGGGTTATTCTGGGGAATGACACACGGGTCAGGGATGGGCTGCTGCTCTCCGGGGCAGCTGTGTGACAGGATGAAGGCATCAGAGAGCAGCCCTGGCCCCGAACTCTGGAGCAGCCCTGGCCCTGAACTCTGGAGCAGCTGAGTGAAGGATTACTCTTCCGGGGTGGGAGAAGCTGACCTTAAGCTGTGGTCACTTGGAGAGGGTGCCGTTGCCTCCAGCAGGCCATGCCTCAACACTGCCAGGCTCTGCACAGGCTGGCCTCTCTGCTGTGGCTCTCTTCTGTGCTGCTTCTCAGTGAGCCCGGATGTTGCTTCCCTAGGAAACCTCCTCCTTCCATCCCCCAGCTCTCCTGCAGCTGGGAGTTGACTACCTACCCACATCCTTGCCAGTTCCCAGAGACCAGGGACCTCACACAGCACCAGCCATGTAGCAGGCTCTCAGTAGATCTCTGCAAACCAAGGCCAGCCCTGTGCCAGCCTGGTATAAGGATCTTTGTCTTAATAAGGGCCAAGAGAGGGGGACGGGAGCTGTCAGCATGCTCGGCAGGCTGAGTTCCTGTCATGCCCAGTGCATGTTCTCACTCAGTGCTTGCTGCAGCACTGCTGGGACCCCCATTTTACAGGATGGCAGAGGCAGTGAGAGGTGAGGCAGCTGGATGGGGACATGCCTGTGTGCCCGACCCTGTCCCTGAATGCCCTGAAGGGCCCCACAGAACTCCTGTCATCAAAGATGCTGCCTGTTTTGAAGCTGCAGTAGAGAGGAGTATGGGGGCATGCTGGGGCCTCGAAGTGTAGCATCTCAGGTTTCTGGAAACTTCCATGCTTCTTGCGTGGGCATGTGTGTTTCACTTGGCCTTTGGGCTGGCCCGTGGGGCATTCCAAGGTTGGATCCAAGGCTTTGGCGATGGCCCAAGATCTGGATATGGTTTTTGTCTCCAAGGATCTCCAAGGTCTGGCTGTCAGAGCAGTGGAGTCAGCTCCTACTGGTGGTTCTATCGGGTCATTTTCTTGATTAGCCTTTCCTCTGGAGTGCCCATAGCAAGGAGTAGACTTTTGAAAACTATTAGCATATCTCATTTCTTTGTCTAATTAGTGTTGTGGGAACCATGTCCCAGTTTTCATGCTTGAATAAATAGCTGTCGCGGGGTAAGGCGCTCAGGGGCCGACACACTGAGGCACTCTCCCTTTGTTTGTATCTCATCTGAGCTCTGTGGCCATTCCTTCTCCCAGGAACTGGTCCTCTCATGGCAACTTCCCCAGCCACGGGGTGTGGGGGACAGCCCTGGCAGTGCTGCTCAGTGACCCCATGTGTGTCACATCATTAATGCAAAAACTTGGGCTTGGTGAATGTGTTCCCCTGTCTTACAAACAGATTGATTTCTTTACTTGAAAGGTAGTTCTAGGAAGAGAGAAAGAGATCTGCCTTCCACTGGTTCATTCATAAGTGGTTCCAAAAGCTTGGGCTGGACCAGGCTGAAGCCAGAAGGTTGGAACTTGACTGGGGCCTCACCAGGGGTGCCAGGGGCTTCAGCACTTGGGCCACCTTCTGCTGCTCCCCAGGTGCATTAGTAGGGAGCTGGATTAGAAGTGGAGCAGCTGGGACTTGAACTGGTGTTCATCTGCCTGGGTCACAGGGCTGCCTGGGTCACAGGTGGTGGCGTCACTGGCTGTGCCAGTGTTGGACATGTCCTGAACGTCGTATCAATAGAATCATGTAGGAAATCAGCTCCCCACTTGCCTCTAAGGCATATCCGTGGTTTTGCATGTCCCAGTGGCACTCAGTCTCTTTATTGCTAAATACCATTCACCCATCGAAGGACATCTTGGCTGCTTCTAGCTTTGGGTGATGACAATTAAAGCTGCTCTAAACATTTGTGTGCAGACTTTTGTGTGTACAGGAATTTTCCAGTCAACTGGGCAGCTATCCAGGGCGCCACTGATGAGACTGGATGCTAAGGCTGTGTGTGATTTTGTGAGAAACTCTCCAACTGTTTACCAAAGTCATTCTGTCATTTCTGTTTCCCACCAGCAATGAATGACAACAGTCTTTGGTCTGGAATGCTTGTCAGCTGTCTCTGCTCTCTGTTCTAAGGGCTGTGTAGTAGCATCCTGGTGTTTTGATTTGCATTTCCCTGACCACAAATGATGCTGGGCACTTTTGGCATACCCATCTTTCCTTCTGAATATTTCCTTTGGTGAAATGTTGGTTCATATCTTTTGGTCTATTTAAAAAAAATGAATGTTTGATAAAATGATTGAGTTTTAAGAGTTCTTTGTATATTTTGAACATCTTTTCTTTACCAGATGTTGGTCTTGCAAAGACCTTATCCAAATATGGGGTCTTTCATTCTGTTAACAGTTCATATTACAACAGAGAAAATTTTAAATTTAGTGAGGTCTATTGTTTTTCTCTCACAGATTATATTTTTCATGGCATAATCTAATGATTTATCACAAATTCAAGATCATTTCAAATTCTACGTTTCCTTTTAGTAATCTTATGGTTTGTAATTAACATTTAAATTTGTGACCCTTTAAAATTAAAAAAAAATTTTTTTATTGTAAAGTTGGAGAGAAAGAGAGACAGAGAGGAAGATCTTCCATCCGCTGGTTCACTCCCCAAGTGGCTGCAACAGCCAGAGTTGAGCTGATTTGAAGCCAGGAGCCAGGAACTTCTGGGTCTTCTGTGCGGGTGCAAGGTCCCAAGGCTTTGAGCCATATTCTACTGCTTTCCCAGGTCACAGGCAGGGAGCTGGATGGGAAGTGGAGCTGCCAGAATATGAATCAGCACCCATATGGAAGACTGGCACATGCAAGGCAAGGATTTAGCCACTAGGCTGTTGTGCTAGGCCCCAAGATCCATTCTTAATTAATTTTGCTGAAGGTATAAGTGCTGGTTATTTTTTCCCGTGTTTCTTTTTGCTTATGAATTTCCAACTGTTCTAGTACCATCTGTGAGAACTGTCTTGCTTTGGTTGAATTGCCTTTGTGCTTTTGTCAAAATTCATTCCGCCAGACCAAGATACTTCAAAAAGTTTGTGGGAAAATAGAATTAAGATCTGCTTATTTTATTGCTTCCTGGCCTTTTGGCTAAGATCATGTGTAGTATCTGTTGTTTTCAGTTTAGTATCTGATACGTCCTCTACCCAAGGACCACATATTATATGGATTTTTGGAGCTCGGAGTCGGAATAGGAGCTTGTTCATCTACTTCACACATCGACATGGAATTTTAGTACTTTCAGAAAAAATTGTTTATTGTGACACAAAAAAGTTTTGCAATGTCTTCTTTTTTCTTAGTTTGTATTCTTCATAAGTGTCTTGTTGATCTCTCATGTTTGTGTGGGGGCACTTCTGGATTATTCTAGGCCAAGGTGTCCACACTGTCTTGGATGGCATATCATCTTGATTACTTTAGTCTTGAAGTAAGATGGTTTGAGTTCATCTGTGTTCCTCCTCAGTGTTTTGTTTTGTTTATTTTAGAACTTTCGCGTTTTACATAAACTTGAGAATCAGAATGATAAGATTGCTTTTGAGAACGTGATTGGGATTATATTGGGATCCCAAGAATTGACTTTTATTGTTTTTGATGGTTTGTTTATTTTAAAGGCAGAATTGGAGAGAGAGAGAGAAGTTTTCCACCTGCTGGTTCAATCCTTAAATGGTAGCCATGACTGCAGTTGTGCAAGATCAATTCTAGGAGTCAGGAGCTTAATCAAGATCTCTCCCACGTGGGTGGCTGGTGTCCAAGTACTTGCAGCATTTCCCACTGCTTTCCCAGGGCATAGCAGAAACCTCGATTGGAAGTGGTACAGCCAGGGCATGACATGGTGCTCATGAGAGAGGACTTTGTTGCCGAGAGCTGCCTAAGCCACTGCAGCGCAGCACTGGCCCCAGCATGGACATTTCAGCAAGCTTCAGTCTCTAACATATGAACACAGAATATATTGTCATTTAAAAATATCTCTGACACTCAGTCTTCTCTCCATTTTGATAATTTACCTTAAACTACTTTAAGCTCATTGACTTCTTGTTCAGTGTACTTTTGTCTTCAGATATTATACTTTTGCATTCTAAAATTTGTGCTTGCTTTTTTTTTAATCTTCCACTTCCCTATGCTGAGGTTTCTCAAAACTTTTCATTAATCAGAGCGAATTTTCCTTGACCTTAGATTATGGCAATAACAGGTTGCTTTAAAGCCCTTCTCTGGTAATTTCAGCACTTGAATGATGTTATTAATGATGTTATTTTTTCCTTTTTGGGAAGGAGTCCCATTTTCCTGGTTCTTCGTAAATGAGTGACTTTGGATTTTGTCCTGGATTTGGTGATTGCTGTCCTATCTTGAGCTTTTCCATATCTTCTGTGAGTTGAAGTCTCAGTCCAGCTCTACCCTGCAAGGAGTTTGAGTCTGTGCATGCTGGTCAGCTTGGAGACTCATTGGCATTTATGGACAGAGTGAATAGATCTTCTCTGGGATTCCTCCACATGCTGCCGTGATTGTATTTGATGTGGTGGACATGCTTGCAGGTGTTCTGTTGCCCAGGCTCCCTGCCCGGCTCGTCTTCTATCTGACCCCTGTATCTCAGGTCACAGGAGGCCAGTGTTCACACAGAGAGACACATGATATTTAGAGCTGTGCTGCTGGTGTCCCTTGGCCCGTCACCATGGCCACATCAGATTGACATCTAAAGACATGGTGACCTTCTCCTGAGATGACATGTTCCTTTGCTTTTCTCTGCCTTGGCCCTTTAATGATGCAAACGTGGATGTATTGTTCATTTGTCATCTTCTGGGTTGCTGTAAAAGCTCTTTGCACAATTGGGTGCTCTGTGTGGTTGTAGCTCCTCCTCCATAATGAGGAAGCAGAGTCGTCTTAGAAGAACTGAGCGACCTCAGTGACAGCTGCTCTGTCACTCCATGGTGAGAGGGACAGAGCGGAATCCAGACTTTGATGATTTAATTGTACACAGGCGACTGCATAGCCACATTAGAAAGAGGAAATGAAAGAAATACAGCATCCTCATTCCAACATATATTCATGGAACTTCTGCTAAGGGTTTGCTTAAACTGCACATGGGATGGCAGAGTTTAGAGGGTGTTGATGAAGGTGCAGGGTACCAAGGGCCATGCTCTACTACTTTCCCTGATTATAAGCAGGGAGCTGGAAGGGAAGTGGAGCAGCCAGGACATCAATTGGCACCCATATGGGATCCTGGTGGATGCAAGGCAAGGACTTTAGCTGCTAGGTTATAATGCCAGGCCCAAGCATTTTTTTTTTAAAGTTGTATTTTATTTTTTATTGCAAAGTCAGATATACAGAGAGAAGGAGGAGAGAGAGGCAGATCTTCTGTCCAATGATTCACTCCCCAAGTGACCACAACAGCTGGTACTGTGCTGATCCGAAGTCAGAAGCCAGGAACCTCCTCTAGGTCTCTGACACACTGGCGCAGGGTCCCAAGGCTTTGGGCTGTCCTTGACTGCTTTCCCAGGCCACAAGGGAAAGCAGTCCACAAGCAGGGAGCTGGATGGGAAGTGGAGCACCCGGGACCAGAACCAGTACCCACAAGGCACTGGCTTGTTCAAGGCGAGGACTTTAGCTGCTAGACCATCGTGCTGGGCCCCCAAGCAATTTTTAAAATAAAGAGTTTAGTGGTGTGATCAGTCTGCTTCATTTTAAGGCTTGTAGTGGAGCCACAGTGATCAGACTGTGTGGCACTCATGGAGAGAGCGATCAATGGAGCAAAGTAAAGATGCCCAAAACAGACTCAAACTAACACGTCCAACTGATCCTTCATAAAGCAGGGAAGGAATTCAGGGGAGGAAGGGTAGCTCTCCAACGGTAGTGCTGGGACACATAGACCTCCCTAATGGAACAAACTCACCTCTTGCTAAATTTAGCACCTTATACAGAAACAACTCGAGTGGATCACAGACTTGAACACAAATGTACTTTTAGAGAAAAATAAGAGGAACTCTGGGGGAACATGATTAGGCAAAGAATTTGCAGGTGTGACCCTGAAGTCTCTTCCCTTAAGGGAGACACTGGTAAGACGGGCTTCATCCAGATAAAAACCCCTTTGCTTTGTGAAGGACGTTATTCTAAAGATGAAGCACAAGCTATGGCTTGGAGAAAATATTTAACTGAGCATCTGGCAAAGGATTGCATCCAAAATATATACTCCTCTGTCTTGTGATGTAATTCACCATCCATAAGAGGCTGATTGTTTATAATTACCTGAGATGGTCAATGTCCCTTTTATCACTGTTATTGGTGCTGCCCATAAATAACAAAGATTTAATCCTCATTGTACCTACATTACAGTCCTGGGATACAAGAATGAAATCACAACGAAATGACAGACTGTCTCCTACACGGGTGGGAGACACTCCGGCGGCAGCATGATGGACTGGGGAAAATTCACGAAAGGCACACGTTGTGAGACTGGAGGGGAAAAGAGAGGAGAGGGAAAGGAACTTGGGGAAGAGGGAAGGGAAACCCCAGCGCCAACTATACTGTATCAACAAACAAACACCCAGTATTGAACATGAACAATGCAGTTAAAGAGACTTTTGCTAACGAGAGTGTGCAGGTGTCAAGTAAGGGCAGGAAAAGATATTATTCCCTGTGACCAGGGACATGTAGATTAAAACCACAGTGAGAAATCACCGCACACCTCTCTGAGTAGCTGAAATTGAAAAAGTGGTAACACCAACTGTGGCACTCCCATACTGCTGGTTGCAATTGTGAAGTGGCAGAAGTTGGCAGTTACTTATAAAATCAGTGCAATTCCTGAGCATTACCCCCAGAGAGGTAAAAACAAAACAGTCACACAAAAGTCTATAAAAGAATGTCCATGGCACCTCTATTCATAATTCATAAGTGGAAATAACCCCAAGGTCCTTCAATAGGCAGCCGGTTCTACCAACTGTGACACAGCCATGTGCTGCACAACTACTCACACCCAGAAGGAATGAATGATTGGCATGCACACCAAACTAGATAATCTCTAGAGAATTACTCTAAATAAAAACACATACTCTCAAAATAACACAGTTATGGGCACAGAGAACAAATTGGTGGTTGTTTGGAGAGGTCTGGGGTGTGATTATGGAAGAACAGTATAAATATACTTGTTCATACTCTCCTGCTAGTATAAAATATAGAAACATAGTATATAGATATAGTATATAGTATAGTATAATATATAGAAGCCCCATAGTAGATAGAATAAGTTGGTTTTGGCTCATTGCTGTGGTCCATGATCAAGGATTTGCACACAGCGATAGCCTTTCTGTTGGCAGACTCCTGAGGGGTGCCAGGCATCATGTGGCAAAAGATGAGAGAGCTCTCCAGGTTGCTAGTTCACTCCCCAAGTGCTTAGAAAGGCTAGGCCTGGCCCAGGCTGAAGCTGGAAGTCAATTCAGGTCTCCCACGTGGGGCCATTACCTGCTTCCGGGGACCTGCATTAGCAGGAAGTCAGGAGCCAGTGGTGGTACTGAATCCACCTGCTCTAATGTGGAGTGTGGTCTTTCTAACCGGGGGCTTCCTCCTTAGACAGATGCCTGTCCTCCTCTCTCTTTTTCTAAAGCCACCAGCTTTCATTGTGGGGCTTGCATGCTTCCCCATTATGGGACCTCAGCGTTGGGGCATCCATGCTGATGGGATGCCCAGCTTTTTCACTGGCTCAGTCTGGGTGGTGTCTTCCATGTGGTGCTGTCCTGCAAATCATGAGACATCACCCTTGGGCAAACCGGGGTCTCTGTTTTTCTTGGTACAGTCTCTTATGTTTGTATGTCCATCTTCAATTATTTCTTAAAACAGTTTAACTAGGAAACCTTTCTTATCCTACAGTACATTAAAAAAAATAGCTGCTGTTGTATTTCATGCACTATTGATGCCACATCTCATATGTGAATGACTGGGTGAGCAGGTATTTGATTTGCATAATTTTTAAAGATTTATTTATTTGAAAGGCAGAGTTAGAGTGAGAGAGAGAGACAGCAGAGAGATAGAGAAAGAATCTTTCATCTGAAGGTTCGCTCCCCAAATGGCCTCAACAGTGGAGATAGGCTGGTCGGAAGCCAAGTGCCAGGATCTTTTGCTGGGTCTCCTACATAGTTGCAGGGGCCCAAGAATCCTCTGTTGCTTTCCCAAGCACATTTACAGGGAGCTGTATTAGAAGTAGAGCTGCTGGAACCTGAACTAGTTCCCTTATGGGATGCTGGCATCGTAGGCAGGAGGTTAACTTCTTTTTTAGTTTT